CTGAGGATGATCTGATCTGGGGTTTGCGAGCCCTCGCTGTTTTTTATGTGGCGACATTTGCTTGTTTTCTTGGTTACAGCTAGAAAGAGACATGTCCAATGTCAGCCTGGGCCCGACCCCCATCCCCGAGCTCACGCACATCATGGTTGGACTGGAGAGCTGCTCCTTCCTGGTGAGTCCTAGTGCTGGGTCTGGTGGCGTTCCTGGTGCCGTGTGGGCTGCTCAGCCAGTTCCGCCCTCCGTCCCTGGTGTCCGACGGCGCTCCTGACGTAGTCTGGGCAGCTCAGCCAGCTCTGCCCTCCATTCCTGGCATCCAGTGGCACTCCTGACGCAGTGTGGGCTGCCCAGCCAGCCTGGTGTCCGACAGCACTCCTGACACGGCGTGGGTGGCTCAGCCAGCTCTGCCCTCCATCCCTGCAGGAGGAGGACTTCATCCCCTTTGCAGTGTTGAACATGATGATGGGCGGAGGCGGCTCCTTCTCAGCCGGCGGGCCTGGCAAGGGCATGTTCTCCAGGCTCTACCTCAACGTGCTCAACAGGTTGGTGGCACTCTTTTCCGTACCCTCAGGCCAGGCCAGCTGTGTTTTTGGACCGTGAGGCCACCTTCCAGGTGACTTTTCTTTAGTTTCCCCTTCACTTCTGTGACTCTTGTTTCCTCCCAGGCACCACTGGATGTATAACGCGACCTCCTACCACCACAGCTACGAGGACACTGGCCTCCTCTGCATCCATGCCAGCGCCGACCCGAGACAGGTGAGGACCCCGCGTGCCGCCGTCCTCAGCACGGCTGCCCTTCCAGACCTGGGCGTCCGTGCCTAGACGGGTCAGCAGGCTGGCGGGCGCAGGCCACACTGTCATCGCCTTGCCTTTCTTCACAGGTTCGAGAAATGGTAGAAATCATCACAAAGGAGTTTATTTTGATGGGCGGAACCGTGGACGCGGTAAGTGAGGTGTGGTGCCATTTCCAGGCGTACCTGTGGTGTCTGACAGGAGAGAGCCACAGTGTAGGGGTGGCCACCTGTGGGCCTGGTCCCCGAGCCTCAGGGCCGAGGTTCCGGCAGAGCAGGACAGGGCGGCCAAGGAGGCACAGCCTGGGGCTGAGCTGCTCCACCTGGGAGCCCACTGGGGCTGTTCTTCCCTGGTCCAAACCCCGAAAACAGAAAAGCAGACCAGCGCCCTCCCCCAGTGCTCGGTCCACTTCTTCTTTATCTGAGCCACTGGGTGGGTTGTGGGACTGACCGTGTGACCCTCTCTGCCCTGCTGGGAAAACGCTGGAGGAGTTTGTGCGTCCTCCTCAGCCGCCCGCGTGGGATGAAGCAGCTCGCACAGGTGGGCTGCAGTGTGGGGTGTCTCGAGCTTTTTCCTGGCTCCATTTTATGTTTGAAACTGTATTTGTTTACCAATTTTGTTTCTTCTTTTTAAGATGGAGTCTCACTGTGTCAGCCAGGCTGGAGTATAGTAGCTCAAATTAGGCTTGCTGCAACCTCTACCTCCCGGGTTCAAGCGATTCTCCTGCTTCAGCCTCCCAAATAGCTGGGATTA